TTTATTTTGTACGAACAAAATAAATATATTGAAAAATATAAAAACAATAAAAAATTATACTTCAGAAGTTAATTTAGTATCAAAAACATAAAATATTTGAGTAGCCCAAGACATAGCCAAAGATTGCAGTGCCACAGCACTAGCGAAAATTTAAATTTGCCAACTGGAATTCTTTCAGATTACTTACTTTCGGATAAATGACGCTCTACTGTAATAATAATGTTAATTACTTTTAGCACAATAATTTAAAATATTTCAAATTAATGATTTTTAATATTTGTAAGTGATCTGTAAATGAATAATTTAAAGAATTTAATATTATATCATTTATAAATTTAAATTTTTAAAATGCAGAATTGGAATCTATCAGTTTATAATAAATTATTTTTAATTTTTACATTACATTAGCAAAATTTTAATGATTTAAATCTGGAAATAATGACATTTTGTTATTATTTGTAATTTTTTTACATTATAAGTATTTCATACTTTTTTCTTTTTTTTTTTTTTAGATTATAAAATGGCCAGGAAAATGATTTTTGCAACTAGTAACAAGAAGAAACTGGAAGAAGTTATTGCTGTGTTGGGAAAATCATTTCCATTTCAAGTATGACTAATTTATTGTCTTATTATTTCAAATTGTCATAATTACTATACCTTCCTCTCTATAATCCTCAGGGATAAGTTTTTTTTGCCGGCAAGAAAAATTTATCGTCAAATAATTTATACAAGTTTGTGTTGTTTATTCCTTATTCTTTTCTACTATGAAATTGATATTTTATAATTTTATGCTTTCATATCATAATCAGGATTAATTTATCTAAATAGACAAATTAATCCTGCCTATGATACTGTCATGAAAGTAATCAGATACATGGAAACATGTGATATGGTCCAATGAATCAACTTTAGTTACTGTATATACAGGGGTTGGACAAAATAATTCAAACATCCATTTTGCATAGTCAAACTGAACTGTTTCTGAAACATGTGCAATCGTAGGTACCATCCTTTTTTTTCTTCTCATCAGTGTCAATAAACTTCATAACTTTTGCTGTTGATAAAGCTGTTTTTCTGTTCTTGGGGCATTATTATGTCAGACTTAACAGACTTCCAAAGGGAAATGATTGTTGGTGCATGCCCAGTAGAGGCTTCTAGGATCCAAGTTGCTGAGTTAGTGGATATAGCAAGATCTACTGTTTCCTTAATCACATTTAAGTATGCAAAGATAAGCAAAACATTTGCTGACAGAGTAGCTGTGTCAAAAGTCAAAGCTGGATATGAGGGACAAAAGAACACTTTGTCAAATTATAACAAGAAAACAAAACTACAGCCCACAAATTATTGTAGAATTGGCTGCAAGTGCAAGGGTATGAGTATCAGTGAAAACAGTCTGATGTGCACTGCATAAAGATAATATCAATGGCAAGGCCTCACTAGCGAAAGCTTTGTTGATGATTTGAAGCTTACAATGTTGACTGCCTTAAACCCACTATCAAGCATGGTGGAGGTTTCTGTATGATTTAAGGTGCAATACCATTTAACTTGAGTCTGCTAGTTGTCTATGAATGTTATGAATATAAAGTAACAGCCTGAGATATCTGTATATTCTAAGTGTGGGACCCTGGAATTAGTCTGAAATTAAAGGCAAAATGTATCTTATTAAATTATTGAAACAATGAGAGAATTAATTATGTAAGTGTCAAACTGTCAACACCAGACTTTGACGTCATCTCATTTATAAAGAATAGAGGAAAAATAATTTTTAAATTAAGAAGGGAATTGTTAAAACTTAAAGATGCAATAAGGAAAAAGGAAATGAAGGTAAAATATGAATGTGGGTGTCTTAGTCATCAATAAATCACAATCAGAGTTGAGAGTTTGATGTCAGATAAACCATTCCAGGCAGACCTTTCTCACAACCTGAACTGGTCTCAAATTCTACCTCAAGATAGGTAAGAGACCAATCAGGGAGCAAGATTGCTCAACTTTCCCAGAAACATTTAAAATTTTGGTGGTGCCAGCTGTTATCATATTTTATTCAAAAACTTCTTATATTTTAAATTATTATTAAATAGTAAAAAGCTTAATTTTGAAAGTAAGGGTGAGTTTTATAAAAAAAAAAAATTGGAAATGCTAATAACAAGTAAAATTGTCATTAAGTCTGACCTTACTCGAGATATACACAACCTCTTTATTTTCCCATATCCCCTTGACCTTTAATCACCAAAATTTAGTAGCATCAATTCCACTAATAATCAAACCTCCCTGCAAAATTTCAGAAATTTTTGACAAAAAGCACAGAGTTATTAAGCTTCAAACAGGATGAATAAAATTATACCCCCCACACAACACTAACATCCATACATACAGAAATTACCCCCTGAATTTGTTTGCATTTCTTAAAGTTTCAAGTGTCCTAAGTCCAAAAATGTAAAAATCTTTGGGAGTCATTTTTTGACTGATTGCCATACTTTCCCTCTTATATATAACAGCTGGGAAAGTAAAAAGATCTCCAATTAATTTAAATATTGTAATTAAGGATTTAAAAATAGCAGGTGAAATTAAATAAATAAAAATTATTAAAAATAATAATGAAAACTCTGGCCTTTACACCAAAATCAAAACTAAAAATAAAGTAAAATCAATTGAAAATTAAAACAATGTTTTTAAAAACTGTTTAAAAGTTGCTTTGAAATTTTCAAATTGTGAATCAAATTAATTTTAAAATTTATGTTATTTGTGTGTAGCAGTGACTGAATATTTTGCTTATAGTATTTATACAGTATAGATATACAGATTACATATTGCTGGTTAAGCCAGTCCAATGCCAGCTGGATGGTAATCCTAAAGTCACCTTTTCTACCTAAAATGGAGAAAGTTAGAACTGACTGAGCGCAATCTCTCATTGCTCTGACTACAAGAAAGAAAAAGTCCACTGTGGCGGACGTCACCTCATGTATGGGTGGTTGTGTACTTTCTGCTTTATTAACATGAAAGTTTCCAATAAACTATTATCTAATTGCTAATATAATTTTAAAAATTTTTAATCTTTGACTGAAACAAATAATTAATTTTCTTATAAAATGTGGAAGAATCGTTTTTAAGAATCAGAAATTGTGACAAGATTTTCTTGATTCTGATTCCAATACCCAGAAAATGTCTGATTTTTCCAATTCTGATTAATCATCCCATCATTACTGAAAGTATACAAGAGTAATGCAAGAGATGCTTTCACAACAAGAGCAAGAGACACTTGGATACTTGCAGTTCAAACTTAGAAGTATCATTCAAACTCTAAGTTGAATTTCTCTCAAATTTACTGCTCAAACTCTGGGCATTTACAGTATGAGGCACTACTGTTTAATGAAAATATATAATAGAGTTTTTATTAGAACATAATTTAGAATTAATGAATTTATACAAAACTTTATGTATTATTTATTTTATTTAACTTTATTTAAATATTATATACATATATATATATATATCATTTTTTCTACTCAGTTTTAATATATGCAATAATAATAATAATAATAATGCTGTTTATAATTTTTACTTTTAACTTCAGATAGAAAATCAAAACATTGATTTACCTGAATATCAAGGTGAACCAAATGACATTTGTATAGCTAAATGTAAAGAAGCTGCATGTATAACCCAAAGTCCAGTTATAATAGAAGATACTTGTTTATGTTTTAATGCTTTAGGAGGTTTGCCAGGACCATATATTAAATGGTTTTTGGATAAATTAGGACCAGAAGGTTTGCACAGACTTTTAGAGGTATTTATATGAAAATTATATATATATATATATATATATTTTTTTATTTATTAAATTCTTTTGTCGTGAATCATTTATAATTTTATTTCCTCCATCTGTTTTTTTTTTTGTTTTCTTCCTGATACGTTTGTTTCATAAAAGTTAGCTATTGATAACAGTAAACATTTGCACGTTAGTTTGCTTTTAATTGTCTTGTGTCAGTTAATCTTACAAAAGTTATCAAATATTAATTAGCAAAATGAAGGAACTCTACCAAAAAAAGATGAAAAACTGATAAAATTCAATAGGTAAGATATGCAGATTTTATTTTAGTATAGGACGATAATAAACACGGTGTTTAGAACTTTGGTACTTGTACTGTTTCGATAACATTATTGAAATTCTGTTCGTGCTTTTGTTGAGAGAGTATAAATCGTTCGCTGTGTTAGAAATCAATAAGATTGATTATGTGGATATAAGAAATGATAGTTGAGCACGAACAATCTAGAGAATGAAAAATAATATAAAAGATTGATTATAAAATTAATTTAAATACGAAAAAGTTAATTATTCTTAATTTTGTTAAACTGCAAACTCTCCTTGTTTACTTCTGTATATATATATTGTATTTATCATATGCATGTTTTTGTTGATAGGAAGAGCATTTCCTTTTTGATTATAGCCATTTATATTTTAATTCCAGGAATTTCTAATGAAATTTTAACTTTGAAAAATGGTTGGAAATTTTGTTATATTTTTCTTATTTTATATTTTTTTGTTTAGACTAAAATTTGATGCGAAATGTAATTTGCATTTAAAAAAAAAATTCTGTTTAACTTGTATTTCTTTGTAAAATTATTTAAAATCAAAAACTTTGAGAATTTGCAGCACTTTGAGAAGATTGCATTCTTTAAACATGACTGGTATCTATTAGTTTAATACTAGTCTTGAAAAGTTAACTGTCACTAATCTAGAAATGGATCTGTTTGTTTGAAAGGATAAAACTGAAGGGCCAGAAAACCAACCAGNATATGCCAAATTCTTGGGCTATGTAAAGGCTATAATTAAATATTAGAAATTAATTAATTTGACTAGAGGTAGGTAGTTATGCTGCCATCTCTTATTAAATTTAATGACCAATTCCAAATTAAATTTTTAAAATGTCTATATTAAAAATTAATTATTTATAATTATTAAATTTAATACAAGATGGCAGCATAACTGCCTACCTCTAGTCAAATTATTTAATTTCTAATATTTAATTATAGCCTTTACATAGCCCAAGAATTTGGCATATTGTTTGGTGTGTTTATCAGACATATTGGATAGTTGTTGTGATTGGAAAATTGAAATTGTATTGTGCAACTTGGAGCCCTACTGAAGAGGCAGTGTACTGGTGAAATGCATTTGGGGATAAATAATTTGTAATAAAAAATAGTCACTGTCAAAGGAAAAACTGGTTTGCTTTTTTAACTTTTTATTCTAATTCTATTTCATTTAGCAAATGGTTTAGAGTTCAGAAAGTTTTAAGCCTCTGTAAGTCAGAAACGAAGGAAAATTAGAATTTTCGTGTACACACTTGTACAATTAAGTAAGATCAGACATATTATCTGTGGTTTTTTTTCTTTCTGCAAATCAAATTTGCATTCCAGGTTGGTTCATTCCATGCTAGAAGAAAAGATGAAGATGATTCACGCTCCTTAACAATGTGTATTGTATAATTGTCTTTGAATAAACATTATATGTAAAATGTTTGAGTATGTTTTTCGACATGGAAGAAAAATTTTAAAATGTTAACAATATCAGTTGTTTACTATCAATAAAAGTGGACATTTAAATCATAAAGTGATTTAAATTGGGTCACCAAACTATGCCGGATCTAGCCTGCCACCGCACTGTGCCACAGATGAGGTAAAATATAATTATTTATATGGAAATAGTAAGTTATCTACAAACTATGATATGTAGAAAAACTTAAAACAAGTGTGCTAGAAGTAAAAATGCCAGAAGTGGTCCAATCTGATTTTTGCATCTGGCAGTAATATAATTTTTAGGAAAATCAGTGAAATAAAAAATTTGGCAACTTTTTGCAACTTTGGATATCAGAGTGCTTTTTATTTAAGTACCTATAATAAAGTTTCTAACAAAAGCGATTACAAGCTTGCTGCAACGATCATGTTTGTGTATTGGTAAATAAATATGATGGTTGTCTTTATTTGTTGTGTATTCAGTGTACTGTATTGAACAGAATGATTGTGGCCCGCATTCATCATTCTCTCAGTTATCTGGCCCACTGTGAAAAAAATTTGGTGATTCCTGACTTAGATGATTAAACACTCTTTAGAAATCATGCAGGGTCTGCCAGACCCTACTTTTTTAATCTTAAAACTGTGTAAATATGGATATTGTATCAAAAAAACTTTTTTCTTTTACTTCATTATTTGTTCACATTTTAATCATATAAAACACTTTTAGTTAGGAAATAACATATTTTTAAATTATTCTTATGTAATTTGATCAAAACTATCATAAAAATAAACACATTAAATTTCAAAGAGGAAAATTACACCCACTGACTTCAATTGGTTATTAGAATAAAGTTAAATATGTTTTAATAAGTCCAGTAATAAACTTTTCCTTCTCTAACTTTAAAAAAGTCAGAGAAGGAAAAGTTTATTACTGTAACAGGAGACCAAAACTAGGACCTGTAACATATATCTTTCAAAGAAGTAAACGAAAAGGAGAGATTTATGACTTGTAAAACAAGATTGAACTTCTGGCTTCTAGTTGCTTCCATCTATAGAATATTTTTTCTTATCTTTTTAGAAAGGTTTTCTTTTGTAAAACCTTGTTTCTTAAATTTTATAATTAAATTTTTAACAGTCAATCTTTTTTAACAGAAGATACACCNTTTTTTTCTTTTTTAATTTTTAAATTTTTACTTCTACTGATTAAATTTTTCCATTATGTTGTTGATTTATTAACACACAGATTTTTATCTGTGTGTAAGCAATGTATAAAAGAAGACTGTTGAAAACAATATTGCAAATGTATACAGTATAACATCTGAATAGTAGACATTGTCAGGATGAAGCAGTTTAGGCGGTACCATACATGTTGACAGTATACTATATTTTAATGCAATCATCCTGTAGTGAAGAATATGATGTATTACAAAAGCATCAAGTATGCATTAGGAATGTGAGTATACCAAAATGTATAAGAAGGATATAAAATTAAAATATATGTGATATGATTCAAAAGTTCAGGGACTGCAGTAATGTATGACAACAAAAGCATGTGTTTGAAGTTACAGTGCACGAAATGGATTCTATCAAACCACTCCTATGTGTTCAGGTTGGTTTTGCCCATGTCACATGATTAAATCGTGAGTGCTGTTGTTTTCTTTCGGAGATAGTTACCTTTGTTTTATGATGTAATAAAAATGGAGTTTCAAGAACAGCACTGCAACATTAAATTTTGTCAGCAATTAATGAACAAGTTGAACAAAAGTTGGTTTAGGTGGTGAGAGCTCAAATGTCTATGTATGAAGGCGATTTGCTAACTACTTCAAGGGGTGGGAAATTTATTTGGTATTATTCTTGCATTTATAACATCATTTATGATCTAAGCGACTAATAAAAATCAATATAGTGATTTGTCTGCTTTGTAGTTATCAAGTACAGTGGAACCTTACTTAATGAGCAAAACAAAATTGTAAAAAATGACTCACTCAATTAATTAATGAGCGATGTTTTGCATAATGAGTGATGAGGAGAAGGAAAGTCAGGATTTTGCGCATGCTCTATCATTCTGCTCACATCTTTGTGTCACTTGTGATCAAACATTTTTCCAAACTTGTGTTCACACATATTATGCATAAACATCAACGACCATCACCTGTTATATAATAAACATGCCAAACAATATGCCAAATTCTTGGGCTATGTAAAGGCTATAATTAAATATTAGAAATTAATTAATTTGACTAGAGGTAGGTAGTTATGCTGCCATCTCTTATTAAATTTAATGACCAATTCCAAATTAAATTTTTAAAATGTCTATATTAAAAATTAATTATTTATAATTATTAAATTTAATACAAGATGGCAGCATAACTGCCTACCTCTAGTCAAATTATTTAATTTCTAATATTTAATTATAGCCTTTACATAGCCCAAGAATTTGGCATATTGTTTGGTGTGTTTATCAGACATATTGGATAGTTGTTGTGATTGGAAAATTGAAATTGTATTGTGCAACTTGGAGCCCTACTGAAGAGGCAGTGTACTGGTGAAATGCATTTGGGGATAAATAATTTGTAATAAAAAATAGTCACTGTCAAAGGAAAAACTGGTTTGCTTTTTTAACTTTTTATTCTAATTCTATTTCATTTAGCAAATGGTTTAGAGTTCAGAAAGTTTTAAGCCTCTGTAAGTCAGAAACGAAGGAAAATTAGAATTTTCGTGTACACACTTGTACAATTAAGTAAGATCAGACATATTATCTGTGGTTTTTTTTCTTTCTGCAAATCAAATTTGCATTCCAGGTTGGTTCATTCCATGCTAGAAGAAAAGATGAAGATGATTCACGCTCCTTAACAATGTGTATTGTATAATTGTCTTTGAATAAACATTATATGTAAAATGTTTGAGTATGTTTTTCGACATGGAAGAAAAATTTTAAAATGTTAACAATATCAGTTGTTTACTATCAATAAAAGTGGACATTTAAATCATAAAGTGATTTAAATTGGGTCACCAAACTATGCCGGATCTAGCCTGCCACCGCACTGTGCCACAGATGAGGTAAAATATAATTATTTATATGGAAATAGTAAGTTATCTACAAACTATGATATGTAGAAAAACTTAAAACAAGTGTGCTAGAAGTAAAAATGCCAGAAGTGGTCCAATCTGATTTTTGCATCTGGCAGTAATATAATTTTTAGGAAAATCAGTGAAATAAAAAATTTGGCAACTTTTTGCAACTTTGGATATCAGAGTGCTTTTTATTTAAGT